ATGGTAGAGGACTTTTCGACTCAGTTTAGTCAGCTCTATCTACACAAAAGCGATTGGAAAAAACTTTCGGAACACTCTGTATATATATATGCGTGCGTGCGTGCGTGCGTGTGTGTGTGTGTGTGTGTGTATAATAAAGAAAACGGTCTTCGCCAAGATGTGTTTAAGAGTGGACTTAAACAAAATGATATGAAATGATGATGAAATATTAAAAAAATTTCGTTCATCTCAAATTTTAATAAAAATACTCTGAATCGATGCGTTTTTGCGTAAAAATAAATTTTTGATAATGAAAAAATGTCGCTCTGTTCCGCGAACCGAGATATTAAACATTAAAGTTGATGACTATTGAGATTATGAAATTTGTCATATTTAAATGTATCGATATGATCATGCGTTGTGATCACATGTGCAAGTTCTTGTAGGTAGACAAGATATTTCTCTACTGCAGACTCTTATTTCATTGAAAAATGATATATTCAATAAAGCAATTAAATAAAAATCCTTAGCTCGCTGTCCAAGATGTTGTTGGTAATGCACTTGTGGCCAAAATTCATACGGGAAATGTTTTGAAATTGAGATTTAACCGATTATAAATGAATATGATTCTTGTAAATTTTGTCTATATAAATGCAACATCAGAAAATTTTTTATATAACATTTTATGTTTCTTATTAAAACAAGTATATACAAATAAAAAGTTGGAAACGCGAGAGTCACGATGGACTTACTTATATTTAAATCGTTAGGTAAAATGTTAGTAATTTTAATTAACAAATTTAATAATACATTATGAAATATTTGTAATTTGTTCCAAAATTTATAGGAATTTGGACAATGGCGTAGTCGCGTTTATAGTTACAGCATCTATTTTAAAGAAATGCTGGATTTAAACTTTAATCCATATAAAAAAATTAAAAAGGTATTAAAAAGGTAATAATCTGTTTAAAAATACAAATTATTTTCTTATATTATTTTTAAAGCAATGAACTTGTATTTTAAAAGCAATGAACTACTGCTGTGATAGATTTCCTAATCTAAATAGTCGTCAACTTTAATGATATATTTCGGTTCGCGGAGCAACACTTTTTTTTTGTCAAATCTTTATTTTTACGCGAAAACACATTGATTCAATGTATTTTTATCAAAATTTGAAAGGGATCTTTTTAACATTAATTATCATCTACAGTACTCTAGGAAAAATACAGACAAGACGGACAAGATAGTTCTGTAAAATCCGCTCTTCAATTCTGATGCAAGAATGCCAATCCAGGGACGGTTTATGACATCACGACTAACGCCATCATCAGTCGGCGGCCTAGCGCGACCGCTGGACACACACACACACACACACACACACACACACACACAAGCATGAGCCTATGTTCATGTGTGATTTGGCGCTTTCGCGCTTTGGCCAGTTTCGGCGAGCATTCGGGCGTGCTAAGAGCGAACGAGACAGCGTTTCACTGGAGCGTGAAGCGATTGAAAATGTTTTTTCAGCCGCTCGAAAAGTTTTTATAGCAGTTCAGAGAAATTTCAGCAAATTTTTAGTATGTTAGCTGAAAAATATAATTTTCAGTGAAATTTTAATAAATTTTCAATTAACAATTTTGCTAAAATGTTTCAAACATGGAATAATTTCAACGAAATTTTTTCACCAGGGGGCACTTAAAGTCGGAATAATCACAGTCTAATCATACAAAAGATAATAAACATTTCATAAAATTATATTTCTCAAATGCAGTATTTCTATTGGAGAGTCCAACGGAAAAATTACGGAAGTAGCCGAAAATTAAATAAGTTCAATCTTAAGACCATCTTCGTCAAGACGACTTTAATTCAAACGAGAATTTCTTAAGGAAGAAGTTCTTCTCCAAGGTCATCTTAATTTGTGAATACGAATTATTAAGGGCTCCGCACAATAAAAGAAATAAGGAACAGAGAACAGAATAAGAATTTCAACCTATCAGTAACTGTGTATTCCACAATTCACGATTTTTGGTAGGTTAAAATTCTTATTCTTTATTCTCTGTTCCTTCTATTGTGCGGAGCCCCTTACTATCTCAAGATCTTGATTCAATAAGACAATCTTAACCAAGACGATCTTAAGCGCTGCCTTGAGCTTTGACTATGAATATGGGATGATAAATCGATATTTGGTTTATATAATTGTGCTACATGTGCTACATGTGCTACATGTACCAAATATAGATTTATCATTTCCAGCCTTGAAAAATGGACGATGTACTCTATGAAAAGTGGACATTGCTATGTAGTTTACATCCACTTTGTCAGAGGGCAGTAGTGCGCGGCAGCATTTGCGGTTACAGGTTTTGATCGTCATGTCTTCTCTCGACTCTCTAATAATACATACTATCTGACAACAGGAAAAGTGAGGAGTTAGCAGTCTAGTGTTATAATAAGTCTGTGAATCGTGCCATGACTGCGTTTGCTTAGCAACGAGACACTACCATGTCTCCAGGGGATCGATTGTGGAGTTTGAAAGGTGAAAATTACAAAAGTGAACAAAGGTTACTATTGACCAATTAAATTATGAATATTCTTGTTCACTTTTAATTTTCATCCCATTTGAAGATATACAATCGACTCCCTGATTACAGCAATTAATTTTATGAAGTAACGTGACTGATCACCGATTTGGTTGGAAGATTCTGAAAAATTAAGATTTTTTATCTCATTTTTTTGTTATGTATAGGCGATGATTCCTAATACTATTGATACGGTATTTGGTCACCAAAGACATGGCGAATCCTGAAAACTCGTCTGAAAAAGATCAAAGGTACCGATGCTGCTTGTCCCTATTGTATATTTTTATACCATGGTCAAATCCAGCTATGTGTCTTTTTCTCTCTTTATTTCGAACCATGGAGCAACATCAACTGTCAAGCACATGTCAAACGTGATTTTAAGAGTTTATTACGGAGAGTAAGTATTACGAAATTATTTGAAATAGAGATTCCTATTGGAATTATTCAATTATTTCCTAGATTTCTATTGTGTTTTCTAGGAAAACGAAATAATTCCGTAAGTGCCCTGAGGATTCCGCCGAGCTATATATTATAAGTACTGTTGGTACAAATTGTACTTATTTATTTATATTTATGTATTGATTTATTAATTTATCCGGGAAGAAATGTATTATACCATGGTATATAACTGTATATAAAGGGTGGGCCATCTATTGGTACGTTTTTGAATTTTAGCTTCACAACAAAAAAAAAATTAATAAAAAATATCAATGTATGCTCATTTGATCGCATTTTTAAAAACGTACCAATAGATGGCCCACCCTGTATATATTGACATCACAATATAATTATATATGAAATATGTCCATATATTGTATATACGATTATAGAAAATTATAGAAAATTATACGAATCTTACAATATTTTATAATTCGCATATAAAAAAATTCTGAATTTTTAGAATTTCTATATCATTTTATAACTGTTTAGAAAATATCTCAAATTTTTTTATACGAATCTTACGCACAATATTTCAGAATTCATATATATATATATGAAAAATTCTATTAAAAATTATAAATATTTTGAGTATATATTTTTGAAATGTGTTTCAATTTCTATTATAGCTCTCTTATTCACTCGAATGAACGCGTTAAAGTAAGTAGGAACTAAGACAGAGAGAATAAAGGGAGATTGTCTCTCTTCTTTGATTAGTTCCACCATTTATAGTACATTTCCGCAAATGTGCATACGTGTGTGTATATACACATATATTATACACACAATACTAATGTGGTACAACACTAGTGTGTACAGCACTATATGTTCCATCTCACGCTCTTGCCACCGACAAGATACTATTAAAGACCGACAACCCTGGGCAAATTTTCGGCGGTATAAAAAGGACCCCAAGGGCTCAGAGATAATTGAAGAATGCTGTCATTATCGACAATTGATATAAATTTGCTATTATTAACATAAATATTTGGTTCATACATTATTAAATTCATGATTTTTTATTACATAAATGTTCCATAAATAAATATGCATACTTTTAAAGCTATAATATCATATTGCAAAAAAATTACAATGTTTTCTCTGCAGTTATCATCTCTGTTGATAATCAAACTTTGACGATAACATTGAAATCACAATTTTAAAGAAAAATCGAGTATTATTGAGTTCTAAATGCATAAATACATCTACTAAACTAATAAATCTTAAAATTAGTACAATATTATCATTTTTAATTCTTAATTACTTCAATATTCACAAGGACGCGAACTCCTGTAAGGATGTCGGTCTTTAATAGTATCTCGTCGATGCTTCTACTCACTTCAACATTGCAAATGGTGGCTTCCGGATGAGTCCGGAAACCACTCTCCCTCGATTCTCTCTGGGGTAGGACTATGCGACACGAACAAATGTTGGTAGTACTAGGTAGTACATGATAAAAAGAGACCGAACCTAAATGATGTGCGTGCGACGAAGGTAACAACTAAGAGGTCTGTTTTCTGTGGCTGAACTAGTGTATACTTTTGGAACTTGAAGTGAGATAGGTATATATATTTGCTATTTGTTAAAAATGAGAAAGAGAGTGCTAGTGCAGTCTAGTGCAGGAACAGAAAACAGACCAAAGGTTGGTTAAACTGGGATTATTAACGGTCACCGAACAAGCGAGAGGGCAGAGAATTAGAGAGAGACGCTTACAAACTGAGCACACTATGTAATCTTTCTACTATGACGACGACGGCAGCGGCCATTTTTGAGTCTTCCCGTCGTGGCACACAACACGACACGAAATTCCGCGCGATCTATCAGATCTGGGGTTGACGAGGCAGACAAAGAGAGAAAAAGGAAAAGGAGAGGGGGGAAGAGAGAGAAAAAGAGAGAAAGTGAATGAGTGAGAGACAGAGTGTGTGTGTGTGTGTGTGTGAGAGGGGGGAGGGTGAGGGTAAAAAGAGGAAAGGAAAAAGAGAGAAAAAGCAGCTTGATATTTGTGTAGTATTACGCGGGCGGATAGCCAGGGTTAGTCTGTTGGTCAGAGTTGGTCAGAGTGCCCAAGAGTGCTAGTGTGTGCAAGTGGTGTGCGCGCGCGCGCGCGCGTGGTTGTGAGTGTGTGATCCGTGTGGGTAGAGACTTGGCCGCAAGCAGAGCTACGTTCATGGGGCTCGCGGCCGCGAACTAGCGATCAGTCTCCGCCTTCACGGGACTCGACGGCGCCGCACGGTACGTATTCACGTAGTCGCCGTTGTCGTCGTCCCGAGTCTCGGGTCGAGCACCTGGACGGATAAACGGTATGTCGGACGACGGTTGGCGTTTCGAGCACCTCGGTCGGAACATGAGGGCGCACGGTTCACGTTTGCCGAGGATTTGTATTTTAACGGTGGTTGCTCCAACTCCGGCCGTTCCAACTAAGCCTTTCAGTGTTGTTCGTTCAGCGTAATGTAAACACGCAGAGTGTGAAGGTTGGTTCGTTTTAGGGGGGCAGAGCTCGATAACACCCGTATTGTTCTAAATTATTTCGTATATTGTCGTCGACGTCTGTCCTCGTCATCGCACGCGGCAACACGTCACGCAGGAAATCGTTGGCTCCCCCGTCAGATTCGACGCGGCAATGTTCATGGTAGTTCACCGTTCACAGTGGACTTGCGAGTTGCGAACACTTCCGCGCGGCCAAGTTCAGGGCGCGCTTCCGAACGGACTCGCGGTGGACTCTAGTGAATTCCCGAGTCCCGCGAGGGAGCTTCGATGTTTGACAGCCGCGGTTCACTCTCGGCGATTGTCTTCGCGGCTCTCCTCCCTATATTTTTTTCTTTTTTTCTTTCTTTTTTTTTTTTAATATACGTATATGCTACTCATGTTTTGCAACGTCGCCGAGATTCTGGCATACGAGCGAGTGACATCACGCTCCAGTTGAATCGCTATCGTGCCCCCGCTGTTCACCGATATACATTTCGAGATCGGTCCTTCACGTTCCTGCCGAGTGTCCACAGTCTCGGAAACTGATTTATGACTTATTTCAGAAAGCACTTTGGAGCTACTTCCCTTTTACATTCCGTCTTCTTCGTTGACACAAATTTAATAAACCAGCTCAAGTTTAAATAGAGTGTACAATTGTGTATTACGCGCGACACAGCTGTCAGTCCTATTTTTCACTTTTCATCATTTTTGAAAAAAAAATCTACTAGCCACTTAATGCACGTTTCTATACTAATGTACCTAGTTTAATTTTAATCTTTTTTATCTGGATTCTGGAACCAACTTTCTTCATCTCTTTCTAGTTCTCGAAAAAAATGAGTCAATTGAACCAGGTTGTTAAAGTTATTAAAGTTATTTTTCGTCTTTTTCTAATTCTTAAAACTAAAAAAGAATGAAAAATCAGTTGAATGTAGAAAAAGATTAAAATTAAATTACATTGGTATAGAAACGGGCTCATTTTTATAAACATAAATTAACTTTAAATTTATTTTACTTAGTTTTTACTTTTTATCTTTCCAACAATTTAAATGAATTTAAGCTCTGAAAAAAATAGGTATGAAAATAGGTATAAAATCTAGGTCTATAAGAGAAACTACCACGTATACAATAAATTTATTCAGTATGAACAGTACTTAGTAATGTGATAAGCGTTACAACTCTCGGTTAAGATTGTCTTTGATATGTAAATCACGCGTGCAGTGATTATAAAATTTATATAGATAAATAATATTATTTACATATCATGTAAAAATTTGTTATATAGGAGGAGCATTTCATTTAACCTGATTTGTCCAACTTCTTTATCTTTTTCTAATTTTTACAACTTAGAAAAAAATAAAAGTAAGAAACGGATAAAAGTAATTGCTTTTTCAACTTTAGCGGGTTTGCACAAATCTGGGTTGGATTAGATGGACAGTTATATGGTATCGGAATGAATTAAACTAAAATTAAAGTTAATCTACATTAATAGAAATGAGCCGAATAGATTTTTCTAAAAGTTTGCTTAAATTAAATGTTTAACACAAAATCTGATTTTATAGGATTTTATAAAATTTATCTGTCTTTTTTATGTTTCTTGATGCACAATCAAGTGATTAAAGACAAATATAATCATGCACTTGTATGTTTAATTTCAATGTACAATTGTCTTGCAATGATGAAAATATATCTTTCAAGCGATTACAAATTTTAAATAGAAAATAATTTGTAAAGACGATATGCAAAGTGAATTGTCAAAAGTTGCAAGGTGTCTTTCTGAAATAAGGCAAAGCGTTAAACAGTATTTCATTTTATAGAAGGCTTTTTATGAACTACAAGATCAATTATTCTTTAATGTACGTACATTCTAGTTTAGATTGATGTAATTTATTAACATTATATACCATACTAACATGTTTCATAATATTGTTGTCGTCCTGTGTCTATTAGGAGGATAGCAGAGTTCGTGTTTTGTATTCGTCTGCGCTTGGTTTTCGTTGTGAAATTTGGCACAAGTTGACAGTCCAAGTGGAGAAACGATGAATGCCTCAGAACATGGGTAATGCATAATCCCACTCGTGTATGTGTGTACTTGGGATAATTTTCAATTTGGGAAGAAATGAGACTGTAAAAGAAAAACTAATCGTATTATTTTCATCTCTAACATGGTCATAAGCATTAGAAAACAAAATCTATGACATTTGTTAGTTTATCATTTTTATATTTTTCATTATATGAAATGCAGCTTTGGCCAAAAGTATAAACTTAAATAGCATCTCCACATCGATGTAAAACGTTCTAAAAGGCTTTATTGAAAATTAATATTTATTTTTACAACAATATTTTAATATTTCATTAATCCTCCTTCGGCTTTTATTATCTTTTTCTAGAAAATGCAATAAATTGCTTTATACTTATCATAGTCAAGGCTGTATGTATCTGTTTCATAATGTGAATATGACATACTGCAGAGACACAACTTTTATCCTCATTCTTTTCTTACACTGTAAAATATGAAATTGATTGCAAAAGTAAGGTTAGGCAGAGTATAGTACAAGTGTCATTGCATGATAAGTAGGTTCAGCAGGTAGGGGTGGCTAACAGTCATAAAGTAGCATGGGTGTGTATTTTTTCAGGTTTAACCCAGCCTTTAACATGGCCTCCATAAAGCAGGCTTTCAATGAGGCTGTGGAAAGAGGTAGGTGTATTGTTAATTCAATTGAATCATAATGGCTGTAATAGCTAATCATTGGAACATCTGATTTCGCCTGTTTACTATCTCTGTTTCTCATACACGCGCGCGCGCGCGCACACACACACACACACACACACACACACACACACACACACACACACACACACACACACACACACATTGAAGATGAATTATTTTAAAAATGTAAACAAGTAAAGATTTTTATTTTTGCATCTTAAGCAAAATTAATGTTTAAATAATGGAAAAGGTACTTTGGTCACATTGATTTCAAAAATTTATACATTACATTTTTTTTATCTTGCAATAATCTTCTGATATATGAAGTTACATGCAAGCGGAATCAGCAGTTGCCAAAAATAGTGTCAATTTATACTGATGACTTTTTCACATTTTGAAAGTCTCGACAGTTAGAATGCCTGCGCCGACGCGGCTGAGGGATCTGATCAGACAAATACGGGCTGCACGAACAGCTGCGGAAGAGAGGACGGTTGTGAATAAGGAATGCGCGTATATTCGTTCAACGTTTAGAGAAGAAGACAGCGTGTGGAGATGTCGTAACATCGCTAAACTATTGTATATTCATATGCTGGGGTTTGTATATCAAACTGTATTACTAACTGTATTATTCTCGCTCATTTGCTTGCTATAGCAACGATATAACTTAAAAAAAAAGACGTTTTTCAGAAAAGAAAAAATACATTTTGATGTAATAAACTCATTATCATAGAAGAACAAAAAAAGTATGTTCTTAATTTCTATTTTTCTTTTGTTTCTGCTCTCTTTTGCATGCAACTGAAATGAATAATTTTTGAGTTGTATTGTTGCGTTGTCGCAAAACTGAGTGTTGCGACATGATTCAACATCATTGAGAGGATAAATGTGACGTGTTAATGACACATTTCAGGTATCCGGCGCACTTTGGTCAATTGGAATGTTTGAAGCTTATCGCTTCGCCCAGATTCACCGACAAACGAATTGGTTACTTGGGAGCCATGCTGTTGCTAGACGAGCGGCAAGACGTACATCTCTTAATCACAAATTGTCTAAAAAAGTAACGTTGCTCCATTTCGGATGCTGCCAAACGTTTTCGATGACACTCTGGTGGCTTGTATTCAGAACGCGCTTGTAACAAGAATGTTAGCGCGCTAACATGCTATATGCATATGTACATATATAATTTCAGAGATAAAAGCGCGCGCACTTTTATTGATAAAAACGCGTTCCTGAATACGACCTTTATATTTTCAAATAAGAGAACAAATTTTTGATGCAATTTTCCTCCCTGATTCTGTTTGCACAGTGACTTGAACAGTTCCACACAGTTCGTCATCGGTTTGGCGTTGTGTACCCTCGGCGCGATCGCGTCGCCGGAAATGGCAAGGGATCTGGCGTCCGAGGTAGAGAGATTGATGAAATCGCCGAATGCGTACATCCGAAAGAAAGCGGCGCTTTGCGCCTTTCGGATCATCAGACGCGTGCCGGAGTTGATGGAGATGTTTTTGCCGGCCACTCGCAGCCTGATCACCGAAAAGAATCACGGGGTCCTCATCACTGGCGTCACTCTCATCACGGAGATGTGTGAGAACAGCATTGACACGCTGAATCATTTCAAGAAGGTATACCTAAGAGATACTCGTTTGATACACGTACGGCATACATTAGCTCTAGAACAGGATTCATAGGACAGGTTCCATAGGAGACAGTTTGATGTCGTAAATCTATCCGTCCGAGTCATAGTGTTGCATTATTACATAACCGATTGATTGTTGTATGATCTATCTAGTATGGCTGATACATCAAGTTAGGTATACATATGTGTATGGTAGTAGAGAAACCCGCTAGTAAAAAGAGTATCTAGAGAGTGCTTAGTGCACCTAGTGGAATTATCTATTAGGTACTGAAACTTAATTGTGTTTGCTGGCTAATTATCGTATTAGCAATAGTGACGGAAAAGAATGTAGTCTTAATCTTGTACGGCTACGAAATAATTAATCGAAAGAATTATTTTATTTTATATTACGCATTAATGAATCTTTATGAGTCCTTTGTATAATTATATTAGGGAAGGAAAACAAATACTTCCCTGCATTTTATATCAATACAATATGAAATTAAAAACACATTTGTCTTTCATTTACATTTTTAAACAGGTTTGCTTTAAATAGATTCTAAACAGCTTGTTTCGTTGACATAAACACGTGCGAGTTTCTCTTCTATACTTATTTCTTTTTTCCAAGCAATTAAAAAAAATAACATAAAAATAAAAAATAATAGAATATATAATAAGACAAACATGCAATATTTTTTGACGAAATTTCACATGGTTAACATCTTCAAATGTATTACATAAGCATACGTAAATAAGCGTTGATTATTTTTGTCTTTCTTAGGAATGCGGCCATCGTGAGGTAATATGCATATAAAGGTTCTTCTATATTCTTGCATGTATGTTTATTACTCATGGACTTCATTCTTTTCTTTTACTTTGCTCGAAATAGATATTGGAATGAGAATATAAATCAACATTATCTGCTTTGCCATGTTATTTTTTTTTATAATTAAAGTATCAAATCACCTATATTGCATTTGTAGATATACAATCTTTTATATACATAAATTTTTTATTGATCGAGGTAGTTAGATATGTTTAAAGATATTAGATTATAGTAACAATTACGTAACATCTATCAGTAATTATCATTGATGACATTATTTACTACAGTTGCATGTTTATCTCAGAAATTGAGAAATGTTCATAGACATCAAGTTATCTATTATATTTAACACATTCAACTAAATCAATAGCAATACTTACGGTACAAATAGCCTACATTGATTTTTAATGATGTAATGCGAGAGAAAGAGAGAGAGAGAAAGAGAGAGAGAGAGAATTACTCTTAAATAATTGAAATCAAGGTATTTGAATATTATTTTAAGATAATAAATGATGCTTATTTATATTACATGAAAATGTATGTATATTATCTCGCAACGACTTATTCCATCGATTTTATTCCTTCTAATTGATGTTAATAGTCATATTAAGTTTCTACGAAATTAAGCAGAGAAAGGTCCTATTGCAGATCGTGCCAAACCTCGTTAGAATCTTGAAGAACCTAATCCTAGCCGGATACTCGCCCGAGCACGACGTATCCGGAGTATCGGATCCGTTTCTTCAGGTGAAGATACTGCGTCTTCTACGTATTCTAGGACGTAATGACGTCGACGCATCCGAAGCTATGAATGACATTCTTGCTCAAGTTGCCACTAACACAGAAACCAGCAAAAACGTCGGTAATACGATACTCTACGAGACGGTTCTATCGATCATGGACATTAAGTCGGAGAGCGGACTTCGAGTCTTAGCGGTCAACATACTGGGCAGATTTTTATTGAATAATGACAAAAATATCAGATACGTGGCTCTGAATACATTATTGAAGACAGTTTACGTGGACACCAGCGCGGTGCAGAGGCATCGATCGACAATTCTAGTAAAATATTCACACTTACAGATTTTCTTTTTTAAGCTGAAGATAAGGTTATTCATTGCGATTAATATTCTCTCGGCGTATTTTAGGAATGCCTGAAAGACCCAGACGTATCGATTAGAAGGCGTGCGATGGAGTTAAGTTTTGCGCTTGTTAATTCTAACAATATCAGGAATATGATGAAGGAATTGCTCTTATTTTTGGAACGTGCTGATCCCGAATTTAAGGCTCAATGCAGCAGCAATATCGTTATGTCTGCGGAGAGATTTGCTCCGAACAAACGCTGGCATCTCGAGACTCTCTTCAAAGTACTCGTCGCGGTGTGTATTTTTACGGGTTCATAATACGGCGAAATATATGGCTAGAATTATCGAGATTCAAACCTTTTTTTTTTTTAATTTTCAGGCTGGTAATTATGTGCGAGATGACGTAGTGGCGTGCACGATACAATTAATTTCGGAGACGCAGTTACAGCAGGGATACGCCGTTAGTGCATTATGGCACGCATTAGAAAAGGACACATCTGATAAACAGCCTTTGGCGCAGGTTGCCACATGGTGCATCGGCGAATACGGCGATCTATTGTTATACAGTCCACCGTCGGAAGACGCCGAGACTCCAATCAATGTAAGTTCAATTGTAACAATTGTGATGCTTACTAGGGATGGCCAAATAATCAATTGATTCGGTTTCCGGATCAATGAATCAATTCAAATTGAAAGCCGATTTGAATATATACTAATTGAATAATTTGAACCAATTCTATTCGATTTTTTTTTGTATTTTATTAATGCAATCTCGGACGCATATAAAAGTGAGCGTAGATTAGTTAAATTGGTCGGAGCAATCGGAGAATAATTATTTTACATTTAATTGTTCGTTAGCACTTGGAGCAAAAATTCAATTACAAGCATTTAAACTGAGAAATAAATACCAAAAATTTTTATTTAAAATATATGAAAAGTTTTATTATAAATTTTGGTATTTTTTGAATGTCAACAAAATATATAAATATGAAAAATATTAACCTTCATCAGGTTCCATGTTTAATACATTTTTATATTTAAAACTTTTAAAACTGTGCGCATGTAAATACTTAGGGTAAGATTTATCCTGTAATGGTACTTCCGATGGATGTGTGTTGAAGAATTTAAAACTTATTAATGATGCCTTAAAAAAAAGAGGATGATGAGACAAGAGAACGGATGACATCGATTTACTTACATGAATTGATACATGTAATTAATCGGAATGTCCGAATCAATTTAATTTTTGCTTAATCGGAATTTCGATTTAAAATTGGCCAATTCTATAGTACGTACTTATATGAAAAGACGGAAAAGACTTAGATTTTGCTAATAAAATATTAAATTTTTTGATCATATTTTTATTGAAAGCTGCTTGTCACTTTTCCTGGATATATTACATATATATGAAGATATAATTCAATAATTTCTTAAATTTCTTCATCAGTTGACAGAGGACGAAATCATCGACGTATATCAGAGGTTACTCTGGAATCCGCAGAACACTGTGATCACAAAACAGTACACTTTGTTGTCTCTTACCAAATTAAGCACGAGGTTCCAGAAAGGTCACGAGTTAGTATCACTTTCGATCTCGTTCGTGATTATCCATATAATATTTATGTAAAATATCTTTATTTGTGTACAATCGTAATATTCATGTAATGTTCTGTTATTACAGGAAAATTTGTCAGATCATAGATACGTTTGGTAGCAATTTACATATCGAATTACAGCAGAGGGGTATCGAATTTTCGCAGCTGTTTCGAAAATATGATCACCTGCGGCCCGCGTTGCTCGAGAGAATGCCGCCGATGGAAACCGCGCGACCGCAGGCCAATGGTATCATAGGCATGGTGAACGGTGAGCCAGAACCGGAAGACGAAAAGTCCACAATACTAGAATCAGCCACTACTACATCCGATTCAGTAAGCGCATACTCTTCTTCTAACATCTTAACTGTCGCACAGGCTTTTGTAATCAATCCCCTGACGCCATACTATTATTTTATGCCTAACTTTGTTAAAATAAATGTTAAATTGATATACATGACCTAGAATTTAATGTTTTCAAAATATTTGTGAATGTTTGACTCATGTGCGTGAAAGATACATGCGCGTCTGCGCCACATATATAAATGTAAATACAGTGAAAATATACGCATTTATCGTCGTAGGATGAATTTGTAAAATGTTTTCATAATAGGATAGAGCGATAAGGAGGAATAGGATAGAGAGATAATAGGATTTATTTCGTCATTTTTAACTTTAAAAGTAATATAAAATTTATGGCAACAAATAATATCTTTTTGCAGTAACATGCTTATAACTACATGCCTATACAATCATGATTGCTTCTTGAGAGCATAAATATGACAAATGTTTAGTATGCTGCTCAGGAACATAAACAATATCATGAGAAATGGATGAAATAGCCCCGCTCTACCTTATAATTTTAAGTAAATCTTTCACATTGGAATAGATTTTTCAATAAAATATGTTTTTTAAAATAAAAATAATAATCTTAGGTCAAGTTAATAGACCTTTTCACAGAATTCGTAATATAATATATAAAATTAATGCAAAGTGTTCTTAGCTTTTATATAAATGGTAGTAAGTAGGAAATGTGTATATTCAAATTGATATATGTAGCGTTCTAGATCTATAGATGTATATTCAATTGGATATCAAAATTTTAACATATCTTTTCATTTAAACTATAAATATATGATAAGCTAAGAATAATATAAATGATTTTTAATGATTCTATTAATCTTAATGTGGTCACACAGAAGGATCAAAATGATTCTAGGGCGCATTTAACCGATTGCTGCATTCACAGAATTCGTTTTATTTAAAAAATTACTAGTTAAATGTGTTCTGGGACCATTTTGATCCCAATGTGATCACAAAGGATGTAAATAATATAAAATATTCTCTCTCTATTAAAACAAAAAATAAATTTAAAAAAGATGTCTACTAATATCTTTAATTTTTTTTGCAATTTTACAGAGTGCACTTTTAGATTTACTTGGAACTACGGATGTAGGAATGACGATGCCGGCGGCGACGACCAATAAAAATTCTTCATCGAGTACGACCGCGGCAGCGCATAATAATGACCTGTTGGATTTGCTTGGAAGTTTAGATTTGAATACGCCTACGCCTGTCGCTCCCACGTTACCACTTCAACCGCAGGCGTCATCTGCACCGATGTTCAGTCCTACTAATAATAGTAATTTCTTAGTAGATGGATTACTCAGTACTCCGACAATGCAAAATGGTTTGTCACAGAATCTAAAATAATATCACGGATTTATTAGTGTATAAATTATTATAATCATAATCGTTTTTACAGAACTACCAAGTATGGTGGTCTTGGATAAATCAGGGCTCAAAATAACGTTCAAATTAGAAAGACCGCCCGATATCTCCGATCTGTTGGTCATAAATATGTTGGCTCAAAATTCCGGAAGCACTATTTTAACCGATTTTTTATTTCAAGCAGCAGTTCCTAGGGTTAGACACTATATATATATATACACACTCACACGCACGCACATACACACATACACGTGCACATACACACATGCGCGCGCGCGCGCGCGCGCGCGCACACACACACACACACACACACACACACACACACACACACATATACACACTTATAATACTTTTCGTATATCAAATATATTTATCATACATTTCTTGTTTGCAGACATTCCAATTACAAATGTTGTCGCCGTCAAGTACTGTCATTCCACCGTCTGGTCAAGTAACTCAAGTCTTGAGAGTGACTAATATGAATAGAGTCAGTTTTTAATACATTATCTAAAATGTATTATGTAAAATAAGAGTTTTTTGTTTCTAATCGACGATCTCTTTTTTGTTCCTTAGGCACAATTAAGAATGAGATTGCGTATATCGTATACCGGCCCGACTGGATCAGTTCTAGAACAAACTGAAGTCAATAACTTTCCCATTTCGACATCGCAGTGACAAGATGTAATACAAAATACATTTGTACATATGCCTGCCTAAAAATAATTAATAGAGTTTTGAAAGCGGACTGAGAGGAAGATGAAAGAAACACAATTTTTCTTCATTAGGACAGTGAAACATACAACTTGGCTACATCTAACACACACACAACACACACACACACAGAGGATTTGTATTAAGCAATTTAATCATTACATGCGCGGCACCGATAACGCAAGACCTAAACTTTCTAAGAGACACTTTAGGTGTGTTGAAAAATATGATAATTTGCGCGATTTGTTTGATATATTTTGAAAATTCATAATGAAAAGTGAATTCTTCAGCGCGAAGAACTCAGAAATTAAAACTGTTGCGGATAATGTGATATTAATATCGCAATCTTTCAAAAATTACGTTTGGTATTATTACTGTTGTCTATCGTGTAATTTAGTTACGATGAAAGAGTATGTGTGCAAGTGCTTCGTTCTCGTAATGTGTCGCATGTGTGCGAGAAAAAAGAAAGAGAAAAGAAAAATGTAAATATTTTTTCTAACTGAAATACGCGGAGGGAATTGGGGAGATATCGTGCTCTGATTGATTACATTCCCGTTTTTCGGCTACTAATTTAGCGCGTAATTTCTCACGTAGACTAAATAATAAAATGAAAAACGAAGAAACGAGAGTAAAAAGAAGAAAACAGAAACACATTAGACTCTTTATACGCCACTTAGGAACAATAGAACATTGAAAAGGAAGGATCGGAGGAAGGTTTCGTCACCTAAAGTGCTCTGTCGCTGCCCCAAAAAGTTATCTATGAGAAGGCTAAAGAAGCTTATAACTCTCGCTGTAACAAAAAAAAAAAGATCTTTTCTACCGCTGTATTTGTAAGATATCACAGACGATTCGCGAATCGTCTTGTAAATATTAGATAATCACAATGACGTATAGAGGCGAGGAAATTCTTTCGCAAAATAAACAAAAATAGAAAAAAAAGGACACGCGAGATGGGACTCTTTATATGTGTATATGATACAACTGTTGATTCAATAACGCGAATATACGATAATATCCACGTTTCCGTCTTCGAGAAAAAGAGAGATATCATTTTTTGGGAGGAAAAATACACGCAGATACAAATATAAATACACATACACACGATACTTATGGTGCATGAATGTGTTAAGTGCGAGTACATACACAACTTCGAATTGGTATTCAGAGTATAGAGTAACATTGAAGGGTTGAATTCTGATTGTCATGTTATATCTATCGCGCGTATGTATGCATATTGAACTTTGCATCCCGTTGTACGAGAAATTCATTATCATGAGAAATATTAGGGTTTTGTTAGCGATCCAATCAAATCTCTTCGTCTCTTTTGAATTATATTAATTTCCGTGAAACGCGTGCTCTAACGATGTTTCGCTACCTATATTGTATTAAGTTGATTTTAACGAGAATACTGACGGAAAGTCACAACTCCGATACTACGTAGCTGCGAAATCGTCCTACAAAGTAGAAATGCAAAATTCCATGTTTTAAGATTGATTTTATATCTGCGAACATCAAATGTCTCGTTTTTATTGTTTTCACGAAAGTCACGACATAACAAAAAGGATAATTGTATATATGTGTCGACGTTAGTCTTTTAAGTTGCAGTAAACACTAACATAAAATTAATAGCAAAGTAATAATGTACATGGTTTTTACTATTTAATTTTGGGATTCCAATTTTACTATTTACTATTCAATTGGAATTATTTACTCTCAGAGATATCATTTGTACATATTTTGTCGAATAGAGAAGACACACACAGGGAGAGAGAGAGAGAGAGAGAGAGAGAAGAGAGAAGAGAGAAGAGAAAGAAATATGCAGAAACATTCGCTCATTTAATATAATGTTCATACGATTTTATAACTACTTTATCGAATTTTCTGTCAATGAGTAACAAATGTAAACTTCACAATAAGTATACAAGTTAAGAAAAAAAGATACACAGAAAATAGAATGTCAAAACCAGTTTTGTCATTCTCTATATCCAAATATGTATTTTTTTCTCTAAACTTTTCTATGAATCAAGTTATAAAATACGCTATTGTACTTAATTATTTAATATGGTTCAACGTGATATAACGCGATGCGACATAGATGTAGAGGTATGTAAAGGGTGTCCCAAAATTAACGCAAGATTTGAATTAAATAGAAAACACAGTTTTTAGTCTTTTGATTGTTATTTTTTTATTGAATCATAAAGTACATAGGATAGGGTTATTTGTGGAATAACACATCGGGCAAATGGCCTCCACGGCTTTGCATGCACATACGCACTCGTTTGTCGAAATTTTCCATGACCATTTTGCATAAATGTGGCTGAATTTCGTTGATGCAGCGTTGAATCTCCTCCTTTAATGCACGGGTGGTTGTGGGCTTGTTGACATAGACCTGTGATTTCAAATAATCCCATAAAAAGAAATCTAATGGTGTTAAATCACACGATCTAAGGGGCGATTTTGGCGATTAACAAAGCCATCAAGGTGAAAATGTGCTTCATCGCTTAGGATGATTTTGCTCGAAAAATCAGCATCCATTTGTTGATGTTCAATAATCCATTTTCACGCTCCATTTTCACTAACCCTAAACTGTCAGCTGTTAAATTGTTTTTTTTTGGGTTGCCAACACTTTACTGCACAAATGGCGGCAAATTCAAATCTTGCGTTAATTTTGGGACACCCTTTATATACCATAAGAATTTATATCTCTCAAAAACACCGCACATTTCTTTCAGTCGTACATTTCCTTCTATGATTTCTAATCTGGACATCTTATATATAATTTCTCGACCAGCTTTACGATTGATTGAATAAATGTGTGTGCGTGCGCGCGCGCGTGTGCGTGTGCATACATGCGCGCGCATGTGTGTATACTGTACGCATTTTAGCTCCGTCCCTTATATGTTGCTCGAGATACAAATGCGCGCGCGCGCGTGAGGTATAGGAATATATAAAATAGAACGGGTAGGTGCGTTCCTGAGTGGCCTTGTCCTTAAAGTTTGTGACACAGCGCGTCAGCCCTTCAGTGGGGTTATTGCTCTGCCTACTTGTTCTGAATATTACACATTAGTTTTATAAATATACCTATAAATATATAAATACATACATGAAGATATTGATTAAGGATAAAAATGCTGTATATATACTTTCTAGCGAATCAAGGTGTGAAAATAAAATGTATTTTTATTCCACTACGTTTTTTAAGATCATCCGCTATTCATGTATACTCGGAATATAAACGTCTTTATGAGATCGTAAAGGAGCTACCGTAACGTTAATTTTAATCTTTCATCTTAAACAAGCTTCTCGAGGAAATGATGAAGAAATTGCAAAATAATCATTTCAGAAACCTCGACTTTAAATGAGGATATATATCTTTATTACAAATAGCATATCTTTATTACACATAGCAGATTTATTATCACACTCATTATGCTGAATATTATTATTTTTGCTGAGAATCACAAGACGCGTTACTGCCAACGTGATTAAACAGACGGTCCTTGATAATTTGTGCCATTAAACCATGAATAACTTCGATGGTAGTTTTACAACTGTCCCTAGTCGCTTTTATGAGTTTTTCCACTGTACTGCGATCATGAGGATCCGTGCCGCCTAAAACAAATCCTCTACCCAAAGCTGATTCCGAGTGTTCTAATTTATCCGACAAATCGAATATTTGGCCGGTGGTGTAATCCGCATTTGTCAATAAGCTAGAAGAGCTCAAAGTGTTCACCCAGTATTTATTCCATAATGAGTCGAGCAGTCGTCTATCCAATGCAGACTTGAAGTAGGACACCTCCAAGGAGTAATATTGTTTACAATGAACACCAAAGTCCTCGATCTTGTTCAGTGGTATCGTCTGGTATTCTGACGGCTCTTCGTTAGCAGGTTTATATCCCTAAAAGCAATTTAAGTAAAATGCTAATTATTTCTCTAAAAAATTTTTCTAGAAAATGTAAAGTTAATATTATTAATGCATAACAAGAACACACTTTTTGTAACTTTT